AAATTGATTCTATGTTGTTTATAAAGAAAGTAAAAGAACATATCTTATTGGTCCAGGTATATGTTGATGATATTATTTTTGGATCAACTGATAATTCTTTGTGTGTAGAATTTGCTAAGATAATGCAGGGAGAGTTTGAAATGTCTATGATGGGGGAATTAACATTCTTCCTTGGACTTCAAATAAAGCAACTTAAAGATGGTATCTTTGTCTCTCAAACAAAATACTGCAAAGAGATACTAAAAACTTTGGAATGGACACCTCAAAGGAAGCTAACACACCCATGGGAACTTCATGCTATTTAGACAAGGATGAATCAGGTTTGGAAATTAATCAATCTATGTATAGAGGTATGATAGGCTCACTGTTATACTTAACTGCAAGTAGACCTGATATTATGCATTCTGTCTGTGTGTGTGCTAGATTTCAGGCTTGTCCAAAAGAATCTCACTTAACTGCAGTAAAACGTATTTTAAAATACTTAAAAGGAACTACTGGTTTTGGTTTATGGTATTCATCTGATGCTTGTACTAGTTTGATAGGATATTCTGATGTTGATTATGGTGGATGCAAAATTGATAGAAAGAGTACTAGTAGGACATGTCATTTGTTAGGTTCATCATTAGTATCTTGGCATTCTAAGAAACAGGCATGTGTTGCTTTATCCACCACTGAAGCTAAATATATTGCAGCTGGTAATTGTTGTGCCCAAATTGTGTGGATGAAAGAACAACTAGAAGATTATAGTACATTTCTAAATGAAATACCTTTGATGTGTGATAATACGAGTATTATCAATCTTACTAAGAATCCAGTAATGCACTCTAGGACTAAGCATATAGAAATTAAACATCATTTTTTGAGAGATCATATAAGCAAAGGAAACTGTAAAATTGAGTATGTTGATACAAAACATCAATTAGCAGATATTTTTATTAAGCCTCTACCCAAGGATAGATTCTATGATCTTAGAAGAGACTTAGGGATATTAGAAATAGCTTAAATTCTGCTTAATTAGACAGTTTTTGGATGGTTGTAATGTTCTAATTCATTATGTAGGATGTTAATAGGTTATCATGTGTATAAACCTCAAAAATTTGATGTACTCTCTGGAATAATCGATTATTTGGAGTTATAATCGATTATATGCACCAAAAACACCCAAAACATGACATTTCTCTCTGGATTAATCGATTAACTCGCCAGATAATCGATTAAACTCAGTGTTAATCGATTAACAGCTTGAATTAATCGATTAAATGGGTCTGGTACTGGTTTAATCGATTAATTCAAGATTTAATCAATTAAACCTGGCAAGTTTTGGTTCCTAGCCGTTGCCAACGACTCTCTTGACCCTTATTCACTCCCATATGACCGTTGGAGATGCTTGGTTATAAATAGGGACCTCCATTTCACTTTTACTCACTTCTATCTCTTAAATTCAAGCTTTCTTGCCTCATTCTACTCATTTTGCCTCCTTTTAACATCACTTGTCCTCCTAAATCTTCTTGTTACTCTTTTAATCCTACAATGGCCTCATCTTCTCGTGCTAAAATTCCCACCAGAAGAAGATCTGCACCCTCATCTCATCCCCGTCCTAATTCTGTAGAGGGATGGATCTCTGATGCTGAAGGCCGACAAGAATTTCTGTCTTACTGGAAGGAACGTGGTATTATTTCTCCTAAGTTCCTGATTGGTGATCAGTTCATCAATAGGGGATTCAACTTTCCTAATCTCCTTGAAATTCAAGGAGTTCTCCCTTTCATCCAAATGCAAGGTACATATTATCCTGACTTAGTTAGGGTATTTTACTCTAGGTTCAAATTCAGAGATCAAATTGCTACCTCTCGTGTAAAGGGGGTAACAATTATTCTTGATGATGATATTTGGGAAAACGTTGTCTATTTTCCTATAAGAGAATATGTTATTAACGTGTTTGGTGAGTTAGATGATTTTGACAGGATCATGACTTACCGTTCTTTTCTGTGAAACCCTTCCATGGAGATTGGGCGTCTCCTTCTTGTTGGACCTTTGAAGAAGGAGGAACGTATGATTTTGCATCTACTTGTCTGGATCCTATGTCCCCGAGCTACAAATCATGCTCAATGTTCTTCAATCGATCTTCGTATTATTCATGCCATAATGAATAATGAGCCTTTAGATTGGGGCATTCTTGTCACCATGACTATGTTAAAAGCCAAACGCCATCCCACCTTCAAAATTCCATATTCCCTCCTTGTCTCTCGCATTCTTGAATACAAAGGAGTAAATGTCGAAGGTGAACAAACAGTACGAATGAATAATTTAAACCTATGCTGGATAACACATTAACCCAACTCCAAATGGTGCGTGTCAACAATATTTATGTTCACAAGGATGACGTTCCAAATGAAGGTGACAATAATGAAGATTCTGATGAAGATATGCCTCCTGCTGCTGATTTTCCATCTGATCAGATCCAAAGTGTTGGAACTTCCTCTGCTCATCATGAAACCCGTCAATCTATGGAAGACATGTTATCTGATATGAATCAGAGGATGCAGTCATTCTTCACTCTTTCTGGAGTACGACATGAGGAAATAATTCGCCGTATATCTGATGTAGATGATAAAGTGTGCCATTTAGAAAATAAATTTGATGCACATTTTCATAGTGATAGTGAAGAATTTTAAATTTATTTTTATTTTTCTTGTGTTTTCATTTCTGAAATAAAATGTGGTGTTCTTTTAATGCTTTGATTGAAGGGAAGTTATCTCCAAGTTATGCATATTTTGAGGGGAGCTCTTATGATTGTTATAAAAAGAACTTTCAATTTTTTATTATAATCAAAATAGGGGAGAAATATTTAAAGCCTCTTATGATTGAATTTAAATATTATCTGGTATGTTTAATGTGTTTGTTAGTATGACAGATAAAACAGGTTATTACAAGGCTTTAAAAGAAAATTTTGATCACCATCAAAAAGGGAGAGATTGTTAAACATACAAAGACTTGATGTTGAACTTACATGGACATGAAGCTTTTTTATTTTGATGATGATTCAAGAACAAATAATTTAGAATGATGAAGACTTGTATTGTTGTGTAATAACTCTGTTTTGATGAGTTTGAGTCTGTAATATTAGAGTCTAAGATAGCCGGTACATAATCTACTCTTTAGAAGCTTCAAAAATGCATATTTATCAGTTAGCCTCAGGTTTAATCGATTAAAACATCAGATAATCGATTATTACAGTGAGAAAAACCATTTCTTGTATATGTTCATTGTAATAATCGATTAACACACCTATTAATCGATTAAAACAGAGAGTTTTGGGGTTCTGTTGATTTTGGCTTTGTAATAATCGATTAACACTTCATTTAATCGATTATTTCAGTCAGATTTTGATTTTCAACTTCAAATTAAACATATTTTCGAAAACCCTAATCCCAATACTCCTAGTTTCGAAAATCCCAAATTCCCAAAGCCTAATTTCTCTACTTAAAGTTCTCTAAGGCTCTCAGAAAAATTGAACAACCTTTTTCAAACAAAAGTTAAGTGTTGTGAGTGTCAGAGAACTGTTTGTTGGAGGAAAAAGGGGTTTTTGGAACCTGATGTGGGCTAGAAGCGATAAGAATCACTAAGTAGAGTTCTTAGTGAATTGTGTGTTGTACCGTCTCTAGGGAAAACTGTTCTTCATCTCTTATGGATTTCAAGAGAGGTGTTTTCTTTACTTTGTCTTGTAAATTGTTATCTGTTTGTAATAGCTCTGATTATAGTGACAGCGTTAATCCTCTGTTTGAGTGATTAGCAACTGGACGTAGGATCTTTTGATCCGAACCAGTATAAATCTCCTGTGTAAGATTCTATCTCTACTCTATTTACGTTTACACAGTATTTTAATCGGGAAAATTTGGGAAAAAATTTTAAAACCTAATTTTTATTAAGAAACCAATTCACCTCCTCTTGGTTTTTGTCCGACAACGCGAACATTTCGCTGCACGATTCTAACACTAATTGTGAAGAGCTTGAGACTTGTGAGTTGAATAATTGTTTTCAGGGTTTCCCAAGTTAATTTGTTTTGTCTTTATAATATTAATTGGTGTAGAATTTGTTTAAAATATTAGTATAAGTTTAATGTTTAACTGCTTATAAGTTATGATGTCGCGCAGTTTATTAATTTATTTTAAAAACTAAGAAAAATAAAAAAATTGTAAATATGAAAACAACATAACAATAGAATGGATCAAATTTATTGTTTATACAGTCTATACACTATTATATTATGGTCATCAACCTATAAAATAAAAGATGATAATTTTTTATATTTCCTTTTTATTATATAAATAATTTAATATTGCTTTGATGAAAATAAAAATACAGGTGAAATTAATTATTTTTAATTTGTATATATACATGTGTATATTATACCTCAAGTTTAATCAGTAACTTTAAATTGAAGTCTTTTTAATATACACAATAATTAGTTAAATGTTTAAGGAAAAAATTGTGAACTATATTGACAGTACAAGTTTTGATCAGATTGCTTTTACAGGGGCAATGGCAATGAATTGGGTAGAAAAAAAGGAGTATACATGGTACCTGTGTGTACGCTTCAAATATGGGAACTTGAAACGTTTCCTTTACTTCTACAGTGTGGTGATGAAAGTAAGAAAATAGAACCCATTTTTGAGTGCAATTATTTGTAGTACAGTTTAGACAAAATGATTAAGTACCACGTAGGCGAATCCAGCCAGGTACCGCGCCGACAAAACCATTGAACCTAATTCTACTTTGAACAAGAAGGAAGAGAAGGAGAGGTTAAGAACCACCCACACCTACTTTATTTATCACAAGAACTCATTCCCCTTTCCAATTTGTATTATTCACCATATTATTTTGTAATTGTTATTATTCATTTATGCCTTTCACATACTAATTCTTACCATATAGACATACATATAGCATTCAAATTCCAACCTTATGATTATTATTACCACTCAAGTCTTAAAAGGTGGTTGATGTTACGGGCATGTTTGGGGTTGAATTACCATGGTAGAATGGAGGAGCTGCCAGGGGCGTTTGGAAGCAGCGCCAGTTTGGCTCTCCGATTGGGTCAAACCGTGTTCTCCACCGCTTCTCTTCTGTTCATGTGTTTGGATGTTGATTTCTACGGTTACACGGCTTTCTGGTATCTCTCTCTCTCTCTTTCTGACTTTGGTGTCATCATGCTGTTCATCTTCTTCATATGTCCAATTGTGGGTCTTTATTATTTTCTCACTCACTGCCTCACCAAGTTTGATAACTTTTGCCGATTTCATCATGCCCCATCATCAGATTTTCTGAAAGGGTAATTGATTTGGGGGGGGGGGGGGATTGACTTTGGGGATCGTGTATTTGTGCTTGTCACGAATTGTTGCAGAAATCAAAGCGAAGGAGGATTGACGTGAGTTTGTGATTGGTGTGTCAGAGAGTGGTGTACTGTGGGCAAGAAACATGAATAAAGGGAAGGGGGTTGGGGAAGAAACTGAGTCATATTGGCTGGCCTAATCAATTAATTTTGGGGGCTTGCACACATTCATAGCATTGAGCGAGTGGTTTCTTAGTCATTAACTTGTTTTAGAAAAAAAAAAATGCATTTTGGATGGTGAGTCCATGTTAGGTGATGCTGATCCATTTTTTCAACTTTGGCATTGAAATTCCTTTATGGCACTTCAAGGAGGGTTATTGGAAACATTAAATATTATTAGGTTCTGATTTGTGGTTTGGGGAAGTACACATGTTTATTGGTGTAGAGAAATCAGATTGAATTGGCCTGTAGTTCATTCCATGTTGCTGGCATAACCGCTGGAGAAAGTCTATACTTTTTTATTTTGGGCATGTATAAGTACAAAAAATAAAAATGAGTTATTTCAAGTTGTTTTTGTTGAACTGAAATCTTTTTGGATAATTGAGTGTATTTCAATGTTGTAGGCACTGTTCTTCCGTTTTTCACTTATGTTTTTTATTTTCTAATTTATCCGTGTAATTATGATAACTAAGATACTGGCTTAAACGCTATAGATCTTCATTTCAACATGGTTTGATTGCAATAAGAGGACATATTTCTTTGTGAAGTGTTTGGTTATATAGAGAACTTGTGATCTAATAAAGCTTACAGGAGGTAAAAGATTTGGGTAGATGGATGTTTTCCCAGTTTCAAAAGTAGCATTGCCAATGTCTCGGGGTGTATCCTGTCTAGGTTATCTTCTAAGCTATGCTTCACTTGAGTTTTACCTCTGTCTTTGTTTATGCTATTCACAGCTATTTGGTGACAGTCATGGGTTTGGTAATTCCCTGGAGCATCACACTGTTGGTGGTGGATGCATACTCTGTGTTTATAAAATGTTTACCTCTCCAACGAAGACTAGTAATGATAGTCTTTTTGGGGGACATGGTATGTGCTATTTTGTGACCTAAAAAACTTGAAGTCCTTGCTGTTTCCATGCCATACTAATGCACTAATGATATTACAGTTTTTCTACACCCCAGATTTTGTCATATCTGTCATTAGCTGCAGCATGTTCAACAGCCAGTGTCACAGATCTCCTGCTCGATGCCGATCGATCGTATTGCCCAGCAAAGTTATGTGGTAGATATCAACTATCTGCTGCTATGGCCTTCTTGTCTTGGTTTCTTTCATCAGCATCGTGTCTCTTTAACTTCTGGCTTTTCCCTTCTTTGTAAAATCTACCTTGCTTGCTGTTGATATGTACTCCAATGAAAATGGTGCAAATGACGAAGTCATTTGCTTTTGTAAAGATAATTTTTGTTTCCCTGTGAATAAAATTATGATGACTATAGACAATGGAACAATTGCTTTTCCAACGCAAGAAATATGGAAATTCCTTGTCTGGGTTCTCAACTGCTTGCTATTTTTCGTGCCCATATTTGGCTACTACTAATTGTGCCATATGAACCCCCCATGTCTCATCTGAATGTTATGTGCTAAAAGTTTATATTCCTGCAAATTTTGGTGCATGAGGCTGTGTTGGTCACAGAAGAGACTACGGAGACTAATTGAAATGGAATAAGAGAAACACTAACAACATATTTCTCAGTGACATTCTTTTATGCAGACATTCTAACTGTCCTATTGGATCAAATGGGCACCATGCCCTATATCTTGGAGATTTTGGAGCAGAGGCGATGGAGTGATCGTTAAAATAACAGGGTAGATTGAATGAAAGAAGATGGAAAGAGTTTTTTATTTTATATATATATATATATATATATATATATATATATATATATATATATATATATATATATATATATAGTGTGCCAGTTATAATTTTGAATAGGAGAATCTTTAGACTTATAAAAGAGTAAGTTGTTGAAGTAGCATTTACAGCTCTCCTCGTAGGAAATAATTTTAAGAATGCGTAATTTTGAATAACTAATAATAGAGGGATCCCTATCATTAGGAATGAAAATTATTTCTGTAGATCCTGTATCTATCAGGATAAATTGGTAAAATTTGTTGATTTTCTTCAAATTTTTTGATTTAGGGATCCGGTGTGCCAATTGTAATTATGTCTTTTGTCGGTCACTTTTGAATATAATGTGCCAGTTGGATTGAAGTCTTATTCTCATTGGGCTCCGATGAAGAAGAAGAAGAAACGGAAGCCATTATTAATTTACAAGATGCTCAGGATTTATATGAAGATGAAGAAAACATTGAGTTCGATCAATTTTAGCAATCAATTCCATCAGAACTAACAGAGATGCTTAATAACATTATGAAAAGAAGATCCACCAAAGAAGAGTTCATCACATTGTGAGAAAATTGGAAGACAACCTAATAGGTTTACCCCCTAACACCACAAATTCTCCAACATTCTCCCCCTGAAAAAACTCCTAAAAAAGAATTTCATGAAGTGTCTAAAAATGGAATAAAAGATAAAAACATTTTATTCGAATTCATTAAACCGATAAAAAATAAAGAAATACAAATAGTTACCGAAGTAAATGAGGAAAACTTTTTATTAAAATTAGAAGCAAAAAATAGCCATATAAAATACTTAAAACAAGAAATAGTATACAAAAGAATCGAAGAACAATTAAAAAATTCTGAAATAATAACAACCTTTAAAAAAATAGAACAATAAATTATAAAAGAAGTATGTGTAGAAGTACCTATAGCTTCTTGGAATAGAAACACTTTTGAAATAGAATTACCCTATGAAGAAGGATTTTTAGAAAAGAATATTCCTACCAAAGCTAAACCAAGTACAATTAAATAAAGAAACATTAGAATATTGTAGAAAAGAAATAAAATCTTTTTTAGATAAAAAACTTATTAGACCCAAGCAAATCTCCTTGGAGTTGCGTAGCCTTTTATGTCCAGAATGCATCTAAAATAAAAAGAGGAGAACCAAAAATAGTAATAAATTATAAACTTTTAAATAAGGTTTTAAAATGGATTAGGTATCCCCTACCTAATAAAACTGAATTAATAAGTAGAATTTATAATGCCAATATTTTCTAAGTTTGATATGAAAAGTGGATACTATCAAATTAAATTAAAAGAACAAGACAAATATAAAACTGTTTTTATAGTACCGTTTGGGCAATATGAATGGAATGTAATACCTATAGGTCTAAAAAACGCGCCTTCGAATTTCAAAAAATAATGAACGACATATTAAATCCTTACTCAAAATTTGTCATTGTCTATATTGATAATGTATTAATATTTTCCGAATCAATAGAACAACATAAAAAAAACATCTAAGAATATTTAAAAATATCATAAAAACAAACGGAATGGTAATATTTCAAAAGAAAATAAAACTAGCACAAACCTAAATTAGATTTTTAGGTCTTGAAATAAACCAAGGAACTATAATCCCCATTAAAAGAAGTATTGAATTTTCGGATAAATTTCCCGATGAAATAAAAGATAAATTGCAATTACAAAGCTTCTTAGGATGTTTAAACTATGTATCGGAATTTATACCTAATATTCAAATATTATGTAAACCCCTCTTTAATAGATTAAGAAAAAAATCCCAAATCATGGACTCTAGAAATGACTAAAATAGTAATAGAGGTTAAAAAATTAGTTAAGACTCTACCATGTCTAAGAATACCAAATCCGAAGCAAAAATAATTATAGAAACCGATGCTTCGACATTATCCCTAGACGACTTTGCCCCCTCATACTCAAAAACTATGACCACTAGAAAACTTCCCACCTAGTTTTAAGCATAGTTTTAAATATACAAAAATTTCAACATGATTTAATAAATAAAATTTTTTTATTAAGAATTTATCGTAAATATGCAAAAGAAGTTTTAGAAAATGATGTAAAAAATATAGTTTCAAAGCAAATATTTGCAAGATGATAAAATTTATTATCTTGTTTTAAATTCGAAATAGAATATATTAAAGAAAAAAAAATTCAATACTTAATTTTACTCTTTTCAGGTGTAACTGGGATTTTAGAGGGAGTTGTCATGGATTTGACCCTAAAAAATTCTCTAGATATATATATATTACATGTTTGATGTTAATAAGAATGTGCGTAGGTTATGAAATTAAAATGTGAAGATAATTTTATAACTTGTTGTAAGTGATAACTTGCAAGAGCCATCATCTAAATTTAAGGAATAAAAAAAAAAGTTGAAAATAATAAAATCATATATTTAACTAACATAATATCAATCATTCAAATATTGGGTTTTTTTTTATGCATTCCCAGAATTCCTCGTGTATCCTCGTAATTAATATAAATCATACTTTATTCTTCCATCTATTTCTTTCCGTAAATATTTGTTTCTAATTTTTAAACACATTGTCATTGTTTCTTTCATGTTATCAGTTAAGGATTCATTATTTTAAAAACTTCCATATAAGATTCTTAAATGTTTTTAATTCCTATAAGAAAAAAAAAAAAACAATAGTGAGTGCAAGATTTGGAGCATGATTTTCATAATACACTTTCAAAACACTCAATCCATAAATAAATTCTGGAATGTATAATTCGAAATACATTTATAGATTTTGGAGATGTGTTTTAAATTACTTATTCTAGAATTTATTTTTGAATTAAGTATTTTAAAAGTGTGTTTCAAATTTAACCATCTGATTCTCTATGTGCAGTTTCAATCCAGTTCTCATGCAGATGGGGACAAATATCATATAATAGAGTCCAAATCATAAACAATCTATCATGTTACCTTATAAAGTAAAAATGAGTTTTAATAAGGTGGAGAGATAGCAAACCGGAGATGCAGTACACATGTAGAGGTGTAGAGTTTCAAATAAAAATTATTATAAAGGTATTTGATAATTTTATATGGATTATGGGGTGTAGATAGAAATTATGAGAGTACAGGAAGCCCAAATCTTTGGATCATTTAACTCTTTTCCTTTTGGGCTATAAGCCCCATCCTATCACCCCACCTCCTTGTATGGGTAATAAATGACAAGGCTATATGAGTGGTGTTGAAAAGACACGCCTGAGAATATTTTTGCATAGAAATAACATTCCAAAACTTGGAAACCTTTTGTAACTAAATACTCTCAAGAATTAAATAAATAAATCTTAAAATAAACACCTATTTTTATAAGGGTACCTTTATAGTGGTAATGAAACAAAGAACCACTTGGTTAGTTATGGGTCCAATAAAACTCCATTGTGCCTAACGAGGATTACGAGTGTAGTATATTGTTTTGGCATGTTTGTGCTACCTGCACAACTTGAGTGTGAAGCTTTTAACTGTCTTTAAAGTGAATTGGTGTATAGACTCATTTTCTATACGACATTTATGGCTTGTTACAGTTGCTCAAAAAAATTTGTACAAGTTTTAATGTCCAATTACTTATATTTATAAGTTACCACGTCGCCTATTTTATTATTTTATTTTAAAACTAAAATATAAAAATTTGTATATGTAAAAAATATATAATAATATAATGGATTACATTGATTGCTTATATATATATATATATATATATATATATATATATATATATATATATATATATATATATATATATATATATATATATATATATATATATATATTAAGCCAATAAATTTTTACTTTATTTTGATTAATTTTCTATTATAACTATTATATTAAATTGCAAGAGCTTTATAGCATTCATCACTTCTATTATATATCGTTTCATAATCATAAATAAGTACATTCCTGCAAGTTTTGATGCGCGATGCTAAATAATACCTTGAATTAACAGACTGATTCAAAAAGGATAAGAAACAATAGATTTTATTTATTATTATTAAAATTTCATCATTATCCTTCGTTGTTTGATTTATTTTTTTCTCTCTTAAATTAATATTTTTATTATTATTAAGAAATTCTAAATCTACTAAAAATATGTTTATAATATATATAATCTTCCCTTGGATTTGGAAAATTGGATTAGATATCTCGTTATTTTCAAAAGTTAGTACGAGAACTAATATTTTTTTATCTGAAATTCTTTTATACCTTCAAAATGAGGGAAATGAAGTATGAATTATTGGAATGATATCAATTACTTTTGTTGTTCAATTTGAATATATTTTCAATGCCAAAATCATTCACTCCAAAAAAATTAAAATTACTGACGAACAAAATCTGTCGGGTAAAATTTATCGACGAATTTTCTGTCAAAAATATTTTTATTATTTATTAAATTCATCTCCTTAATGTAGATTAAAAAAATTATCATTAACAAGATTTGAATCAAGTACCTTAGTGTTGAAGACTGATATTCCAATCACTAAGCTACCACAATTTTTCAATTATAATTTACAATAAATTATATTTATATATTTGTATATTTATATATTTGTATATTTGTATATTTGTATATTTATATATTTATATATTTGTATATTTATATATTTGTATATTTATATATTTGTATATTTATATATTTGTATATTTATATATTTGTATATTTATATATTTATATATTTATATATAATTAAATATTTATTTTTAAAAATTATTTAATTTAATAAATTATTATAAATTAATCTAATTATGATTAAATTAATTTATTAAATAGAAAAAAGTATTTAATATTTTAATTAGGTGAATAATTAATTTATTAGAATATATTTAAAATTAAGTAATTATCATATAATTTTACTTGATGGATATATCCGATCGGTAAGTAATTGTTAATTTATTGAT